TGGGACTCGAAGCACCTCCACTCACTTCCCGTGACCGCTGCGACACTCATCCAATGACTGATCAAGACCAAACTTGGCACACATTACCCCCATGACCCCCTTTACATCCTGGTGAAGTTTGGGGGAGGACGGACAATAGATGATGGGGTTTGTAGTACTTTCCAACCCTTCAGTTTCCACAGACTACTGTAGCCCCCAACAAAGAGCAATAAAGACCAAACTTGGCACACAGAGCCCCCATGACCCACTCTACATCCTGGCGTGGTTTGGAGGAGGATGGACCACGGGTGATGGGACTTGAAGTACCTTCACTCACTTCCCGAGACCGCTGCGACCCTCATCCAATGACTGATCAAGACCAGACTTGGCACACAGAGCCCCCATGACCCACTTTACATCCTGGTGCTGTTTGGAGGCAGATGAACCATGGACCCTTCACTAACTTCCTGAGAGCACTGTGAGCCACATAAATGACTGATAAAGACCAACCTTGGCACACAATGCCTTTCTCAAATTACCCGGGCAGCGCTGGGTCCCCAAGCTAGTAAAAATAATAAAAACCAACATCATTATCARTAGGGTCTCCTAGTTAAATAACGTTGTCCAAATTCCATTGTCAAGTGATTCCATTTCCTATGTCAGTTACTCTGCATTTGTAAACGCTGGCTCATATAACCATGTCTTAACTTATCTCTGAAATGTAAAGAGTGAGGGAGCAAATCTAATCTCCTTAGGGAGGGCGTTCCATAGCCGAGGGGCCACCACTGAGAAGGCCCTGTCTCTCGTCCCCACCAAACTTACTTGTGATGAGGGGAGGATCGAGAGCAGGGCCTCCCTGGACGATCTTAAAGTCCTAGATGGTTCATAAGGGGAGATGCATTCGGACAGGTAAATTGGGCCAGAGACGTTTAGAGCTTTATAGGCTAAAGCCAACACTTTGAATTGTGCCCAGTAGCAGACTGGAAGCTAGTGGAGCTGGCGTAGCAGAGGAGTTGTATGCTCCCTGAGGTGGCGCATTGGGTTAAATCCCTGTGCCGGCAGGACTGAAGACCGACAGGTCGCAGGTTCAAATCCAGGGAGAGTATGGATGAGCTCCCTCTGTCAGCTCCAGCTCCTCATGCGGGGACATGAGAGAAGCCTCCCACAAAGATGATAAAAACATCGAAACATCCGGGCGTCCCCTGGGCAACATCCTTGCAGACGGCCAATTCTCTCCCACCAGAAGCGACTTGCAGTTTCTCATGTCGCTCCTGACACGACCAAAAAAACTTGCTCCTGTTAACAATCTGGCTGCTGTCCGTTGGACCATTTGAAGCTTCCGGACAGTCTTCAAAGGCAACCCCACGTACAGAGCATTGCAGTAGTCTATATGGGATGTAACCAGAGCGTGGACTACCATGGCCAAGTCAAGCTTCCCAAGTATCGGCGCAGCTGGCACACAAGTTTTTAGCTGTGTGAATACTCCCCTGGTCACCGCCGATAAATGGACTGCCAAAAAGACGTAACACAAAAGGCAAAATGTCGAGGAAAGGCTACACTCCACCGTAAAATTTCAGTACACCGATATATGAAGATTGGAACTCCCTTGAAAGTCATCAACATTAAATGCTGGTACTTCTACTTCTCAAAAGGACCTGCATCAAAAGGTCTCGTCTGATTATTTTTCTTTGGATTACTTTTTACTGCTTTGTCTACACATATTCCTAAATAAACTGCTTGCTGATTTTACCCAGCTAGTTGTGATGGTTAAAGTCAGAGGTGATCCTGCTCTGGAGTGCAACACTCTATGCCAAACTAAGGCCTGGGGGCCGGATACGACCCCCCAAGGTCATTTACCTGGCCCTCCCTTAGGGTCAACCTAAGTCTGAAACTACTTGAAAGCACACAACAACAACAACAACAACAACAACAGTCTTATCTCATCAGCCAAAGGCAGGCCCACACTTCCCATTGAAATACTAATAAGTTTATATTTGTTAAAATTGTTCTTCATTTTAATTATTGTACTGTTTTTAAGATATTTATTTATTTATCTACTACATTTGTATACCGCTCTTCGGGCAACTCAGAGCAGTTCACAATAGCAAAATTCAATGCTTAAAACATCACAAAACAGTTAAAAACAATGAAAACAAAAGCATTATAACAATAAATTAAACATCATATAACATCTCATATCGTCTCATAGTTAAAATCAAGATCCAGTCTCATCATCCAATTGTTCCATATTCCTATATTGGTTACACTGCCTATTCAAATACCTGCTTGAACAACCTTCATCCAAAATGCTAACAGGGAGGGGGCCGATCTAATTTCTGTAGGAAGGGCATTCCACAGCTGAGGGGCTACCACTGAGAAGGCCGTCTCTCATTCCCACCAAACACACTTGTGATGCAGACGGGATCGAGATATGTGCAGTGTGCATAGGAATTCAATCATTTTTTTCCAAATTATAATCCGGCCCTCCAACCCTTTGAGGGACTGTGACCTGGCCCTCTGTTTAAAAAGTCTGAGGACCCCTGCTCTAGTCCTTCTATGCCTTTAGATGTGTGGTTCTCAACCTGTGGGTCCCTGGAAGTTTTGGCCCACAGGTCCCAGAAATCCCAACACTTTACCAGCTGTTAGTGTAGTAAGAAATTCAATGCGCCGATTTGATAAATGTGGAGTTGACGTTTCGCCTGCATCAGAGGTTGTGAGGTCTGATCAGATTATTTTTCTGTGGATTACTTTTTACTGCTTTGGTTACATATATTCCTAAATAAACTGCTTGCTGATTTTACCCAGCTGGTGTGGTGGTTAAAGTCAGAGGTGATCCTGCTCTGGAGTACAACACTCTATGCCTTTAGGCCTGTGGTTCTCAATCTGTGGGTCCCCAGATGTTTTGTCCTTCAACTCCCAGAAATCCTAATGTCATGAGTGACTTTTCAATAACTTTAAAGCATAGGTTCTTTTCATTGCAATTTCCAGTGTGAGAGGGTATATCAGATTACTGAAAAACATTTAGACATACAGATTCTATGCAACTGTATTACATTGGCTAACAAACAGACAAAGGAGAATTACATTTTCAATCACCATTCATTGTCATGCACTTCTTCCTCTTCCCTTGAGAAAGAAGCCCCAAAGTGACCAATCTGCTCCTTTGCAAATCTGCCACTCTCCAAATACACCATCTCTCTCCTTCCCATGGAGCAGAGCATGACAGGTGAACCTCAGGTCTGTCACAATTTGAGAATTACTGAAAGTTCTAACTGGAGGTCAGCTGTGACCAGCAGTGCTGCAGTAATCGAAGAGGCATGAATGGAGGGTGAAAGGAAGATGGCGCATCAAGTGAATCCTGAACAGACCTGCCTTCCATCTAGAAACTGATGCCCTCACTGTGGAAGAACAGGGAGGAAGAGAGGAGTAAGGAAAGAGAAAAGGGAGAGAGGGAGGGAGGGTGGAAGGAAGGACAAAGGGTGGAAGGACGAAAGGATGGAAGGGAGGAAGGGAGGGAGGGAAAGGAGAAGGACGAAAGGGTGGAAGGGAAGGAAGGAAGGAGGGGGAAGGAAGGAGGGAAGAGGAAAGAAGGAGAAGGAAGGAAAGGGCGGAGGGAGGAAGAGAAGGAAGGAAGGATCTAAGAAAATAGAGGGAGGGAGGAAGGGAGGGAGGAGGAAAGGGTGGAAGGGAGGGAGGGAAGGAAGGACTGAGAAGACTGAAAAGAAGGAAGGAGGGGAGGGGAAGGGAAGGGAAGGACGGACGGACGGACGAAAGGGTGGAAGGGAGGGAGGGAGGGAAGGAAGGGATAGAGGGAGGGAGGAAGGAAGGGAAAAAGGGGGAAGGAAGGAAGGAAGGAAGGAAGAGGGAGGGAGGGAGGGAGGGAGGGAAGGAAGGAAGGAAGGAAGGAAGGAAGGAAGGAAGGAAGGAAGGAAGGAAGGAAGGAAGGAGGAAGAGGGAGGGAGGAAGGAGGAAGGAAGAAAAGAAGGAAGGAGGGAGGGAGGGGAAGACGAAAAGGTGGAAGGACGAAAGGTTGGAAGGGAAGGATGAAAAGGTGGAAGGGAAGGATTAGGGTTAGGGTTAGGAAGATAGAAGGGTGGAAGGAAGGAAGGAGGGGAGGGAAGGGAAGGGAAGGGAAGGGAAGGGAAGGGAAGGGAAGGGAAGGGAAGGGAAGGGAAGGGAAGGGAAGGGAAGGGAAGGGAAGGGAAGGGAAGGGAAGGGAAGGGAAGGAAGGGAAGGGAAGGGAAGGGAAGGGAAGGGAAGGGAAGGGAAGGGAAGGGAAGGGAAGGAGGGAGGGAGGGAGGGAGGGAGGGAGGGAGGGAGGGAGAGAGGGAAGGGAGGGAGGAAGGAAGGGAGGGGAAAGTGGGGGAGATGGAAGGAGGGAGCAAAGAGGGAAGGAAGGACAAAAGGGTGGAAGGAGGAAGGGAAAAGAGGGAAAGGGAGGAAGGAAGGGAAGGAAAGAGAGAAGGAAGGAAGGATGGGATGGGGAGAGGGAGGAGAGCCTGAGAAAAGAGCCCAAGGGGTCACATCCAGCCCACAGGCCTGAATCTGCCCATACCTGCCCTTCCTGGTTCAAAGCAAGCAATATAATTCTATAACAACAACAACGGAAAATGGAAGAAAGCTACTTTTTCAGCCCTCCCACATGGATGCAAACCTCTCTTTTACTCCCTCTGCAATGGTGAATTGCTTCTCTTGAAAGTCTATAAGAATGGTAACTCATATCCAGAGATTTACTGCAATCATGCTGAAGAAATATACACATTTTGCAAAACCAGAAGAGGACTTCCAATCACTTCCAATTTTTGAAACACTTCTGGGAATGTGTGTTTGGAGGGAGAAAACTGGCTCCCAGAGCCACCAACATTGTCCATCTTGATATATAATTTCTATTATTTGCATTTGTGTTTCCTCCACCACAGACATCCCAGTGTCCAAATCAGAGGAGGACAAGAGACTAAGCTGATATCTATATGCATTCAAATCTATAGCTTCTGGTAAATAGATGGTAGGAGCCAACTCACCTTGTCTCTGGATTGTAGCCCAGAATGTAGAAAAAGGAGTCCACGCGCGCTTTAAACTCTCTAGCAGCAAAGATGTCAGAGAAATGGGAAATATTACACTTCCCCCTGCAAGGAAGAGGAAAAACACATAAGCAAATAATAAACAACAAGTTAAGCCAGACAGACTGGGTAAACAGTTTTGTGTAACTGAAGAAACTAAACAAATAAACACATTTTGTGCCTCGTTTTTTGAGAGATAAAGCATGATATGCGGGTGTGTGCGCACGAGTGCATAAAAAATTGCCTAAATTGATAATCATTGCTCCAGTTGGTGCATTAACCATAACTTAATACTTCATATCTCTCTCTCCCTCCCTCCCTCCCTCCATCTATCTTGCCAGCCATCTCTCTCTCTCTCCATCTATCCATCCATCCATCCATCTACCTACCTACCTATCTACCTATCTCTCCATCCATCCATCTTGCCAGCCACCTACCTATCATCTACCTACCTGCCTACCTCTCCATCCATCCATCTTGCAAGCCATCTCTCTCTCTGTCTCTCCATCCATCTTGCCAGGCATTGATCATCTATCTATCTATCTATCTATCTATCTATCTATCTATCTATCTATCTATCTATTTTATCTATCCAGCCAGCCAGCCATCTACCTATCATTGATCGATCGATCGATAGATCTTATCTATCTATCTATCTATCTATCTATCTATCTATCTTATCTCTATCTCTCTCTCCATCCATCCATCTATCCTGCCAGCTATCTCTCTCTCTCTCTCTCTCTCCATCCATCCATCCATCTTGCCAGGCATCTATCATCTATCTATTTATCTATCCATCCATCCATCCATCCATCCATCCATCTATCTCATCTATCTCATCTAGCTCATTCTCTACATCCATCCATCCATCCATCTATCTATCTATTTTATCTATCCATCCATCCATCCATCTATCTTGCCAGCCATCTCTCTCTCTCTCCATCCATCTTGCCAACCATCTATCTATCATCAATTTACTATCTAACTTATCTATAAGATCGATCGATCTATCTTATCTATCTATCTATCTATCTCCATCCATCCATCCATCTCTCCACCCACCCATCCATCCATTCATCTTGCCATCCATCTATCTATCTATCTATCTATCTCTATCTATCTATCTATCTATCTATCTATCTATCTATCTATCATCTATCTATCTATCTATCTATCTATCTATCTTATCAGTCTTATCTGTCTATCTATCTCTCCATCCATCCATCCATCCACCCATCTTGCCAACCTTCGGGTGTGTGCGCACGAGTGCATAAAAAATTGCCTAAATTGATAATCATTGCTCCAGTTGGTGCATTAACCATAACTTAATACTTCATATCTCTCTCTCCCTCCCTCCCTCCCTCCCCCATCCATCCATCCATCTATCTATCTCTCCATCCATCCATCCATCCATCTTGCCAACTTCTATCTCCCTCCCTCCCTCCCTCCCTCCCTCCCTCCCTCCCCCATCCATCCATCCATCCATCCATCTATCTATCTCTCCATCCATCCATCCATCCATCCATCCATCCATCCATCCATCTTGCCAACCTTCTATCTCCCTCCCTCCCTCCCTCCCTCCCTCCATCCATCCATCCATCCATTATCTCTCTCCATCCATCTCCCTCCTTCTCTTCCCCCTTCTATCTCTCTCCCTCTCCCTCTCCCTCCCTCCCCCCAGCCATCCATCCGTCTGTCTGTCTGTCTTGTTCTATCTATCTATCTATCTATCTATCTATCTATCTATCTATCTATCTATCCACACAATAAAAATGAAAATACGTATGTGTGTATGTGGCCGGGGTGTCCACTTACCCAGGCAAGCTCCTGCCTCAAAAAAAAAAGCTATAGCTCCCACTCCTCAGGAGACACCCATGGCCCTCCCTCCAGTGCCATTGCAGGTTACAGCGAGTGCCATGAACATGTCCAAGAGCCCTGCCAATATCCTCCACCAGCATCATACTGCCCACCACCCAAGTGAAGACTTTCACATGGGGACAATTCCATCCTAGATTGTATGTGTTTCCTCCAACACAGACACCACAGTGTTTCTGACTCTCTCCATTGGTGTGGAATTTGCATGACCCTGACCACTGCCTCTCCCATAACCCTTTCCTATTCTTCTCTATGGCACACAACAAGCAGAGGAATTGATCAGCAACTGAACATACTAGAGAGGTTTGGGGAGAATTCACCATGATTTATAGGAGTTGTAGGGACTGGGATGTGTAGTTCACCTGCAATCTAAGAACTGCACTCCAAACTCCACCAACGATGGACCTGGAACTAACTTCGCACACAGAACCCCCATGACCAAGAAACAATACTGGAGATCTTGGGAGGGATTTAGAGGAGTTGTAGTTTTCCGACATCCAGAGCGCACTATGAACCCAAACAATGATGGATCTGGACCAAACTTGGCATGCATACCTGATAATATTATAACGTAATACAATATAATACTACTAATAATATATTATAATTATCTATTTTGTAAGTAATATAATATATTGTATATAAATATAATATTTATAATATCATAATATAATGCAATATCATACGAATACTAATAATATGATATTATAATTATATATATTTATATTACATGTAATATTACTAATAACATTACAATATAATGATATAGTACAATATAGTAACATATAATACTGATATTGTACTATGCTAATAATATAATATAATATAATATAATATAATATAATATAATATAATATAATATAATATAATATATGTATGTGTGTATGTATGTGTGTGTATATGTGTGTGTATATGTGTGTGTGTGTGTGTGTGTGTGTATCTTGTAAGCCGCTCTGAGACCCCTTCTGGATGAGAAGGGCAGCATATAAATGTCGTAAATAAATAAATAAACAAATATGCCAAAATGTGAATTCTAGTGGGTTTGGAGGGGAATTGGCCTGGACATTTTGGAGTTGTAGGTACTGGGATTTATAGTTCACCTGCAATCAATAAGCACTCTGAACTCCACCAAAGATGGAGTTGGACTAAACTTGGCACACAGAACCCCCCATGATCGAGAAACAATATTGGAAGTCTTTGGAGAGATTTATGGGAGTTGTAGTTCACCGACATCCAGAGTGCACTATGAACCCAAACAATGATGGATCTGGACCAGACCTGGCAAGCATACCAAATATGCCCAAATTTGAATACTGGTGGGTTTTGGGGGGAATTGGTCTGGACATTTTGGAGTTGTGGGTACTGGGATTTATAGTTCACCTGCAATCAATGAGCACTCTGAACTCCACCAAAGATGGGAGTTAGACTAAACTTGGCACACAGAACCCCGCATGATCAAGAAACAATATTGGAAGTCTTTGAAGGGATTTATGGGAGTTGTAGTTCACTGACATCCAGAGTGCACTATGAACCCAAACAATGATGGATCTGGGCCAGACTCGGCATGCATACCCGATATGCCCAAATTTGAATACTGGTGGGTTTTGGAGGGGAACTGGCCTGGACATTTTGGAGTTGTAGGTATTGGGATTTATAGTTCACCTGCAATCAATGAGCACGCTGAACTCCACCAAAGACGGAGTTAGACTAAACTTGGCACACAGAACCCGCATGATCAAGAAACAATATTGGAAGTCTTTGGAGGGATTTATGGGAGTTGTAGTTCACCGACATCCAGAGCACACTACTGGGATTTATAGTTTAGCTGCAATCAAGGAGCACTCTGAACTCCACCAAAGATGGAATTGGACCAAACTTGGCACACAGGCTTTGAAGCTGCAAGGCCATTAAATGCTAATCAAAGTGGGCAATTGTAACATTCACACTTGCCTAGTTTCCAACAGTTTCCTCAGCATCTGAGGATGCCTGCCATAGATGTGGGCGAAATGTCAGGAGGGAATGCTTCTGGTATATGGCCATACAGCCTGGAAAACTCACAGCAACCTAGTGATTCTGACAAAAAGAGAGCCAAAGGGCCAAGAGGTCTGGGGCGCCTTACCTGAGGGCAGCAGCATGATAGGTGTCAACATAATCGGAAATGAAAAGCTCTCTGTTCTTGATCACTGGGTCTGTAATAACCAGCTCACGCCCAGAATCTGCAAAGAAACACACGTATTTTGAGCAGAGCTACAAGAGTATCAACATCAATCAGGACTTTGGGTGCATATACAACGCAAACGGAAGCTTAGAAGTAGAAGAGAGGAACCAGTCTTTTCAATTCACATACTGGAGAGTGACCACCGGTTTAATCTATATAAAAATCCTGGTTCAATGCCTTTGGTTTCCTAATACACTTACATCCTAATAATATCCATCTTCATCACTATGATACTTCATCTTGTTGATGGGAAGTGGAAATCATCTATCGGACAGATGGCAAGCTATTTAACCTCAGCAGACTGAAAGCCAAAACCAAGGTTACAACAACATTTGTTATAGAGCTCCAGTATGCTGATGACAACGTCGTCTGTGCACATTCAGAAGACGACCTACAAGCCACTCTAAACACCTTACTACCTCTGAGGATGCTTGCCATAGATGCAGGCGAAACGTCAGGAGAGAATGCCTCTAGAACATGACCATATAGCCTGAAAAAACCTACAACAAGCCACTCTAAACACCTTCACAGAAGCATACGAGAAGCTTGGCCTGTCACTGAATATCAGGAAAACCATAGTCCTCTTCCAGCAGTCACCAGCCAACCCCTTTCCAATGCCAGAAATACAGCTTAATAGTGTCACATTAGAAAATGTTGACCATTTCCGCTCCCTGGGCAGCCGCCTCTCCACAAAAGACAACATTGACACTGAGCTCTGCGAGTGCAGCATTTTTCAGAACGAATGCAGAGAGTGTTTGAGGACCGGGACATCCGTAGGGATACCAAGGTGCTTGTTTATAAAGCCATTGTCCTCCCAACTCTGTTGTGGCAGCCACCTCTCCACAAAAATCAACGTTGACACTGAAATTCAACACTGCCTTAGCTCCCAACCCTACTATATGCCTGTGAAACATGGACTGTCTACAGACATCACATGCAACTCCTGGAATGATTCCATCAGCGTTGCCTCTGAAAAAATCCTGCAAATCTCTTGGGAAAACAAGACCAAGAGGCTTGTTTATAAAGCTATTGTGCTCCCAACCCTGCTATATGCCTGCGAAACGTGGACTGTCTACGGATGTCACATGCAACTCCTAGAACTACTCCATCAGCGCTGCCTCCAAAAAATCCTGCAAATTTCTTGGGAAGACAATCGGACAAAGGTCAGCGTGCTGGAAGAAGCAAAGACCACCAGCATTGAAGCGATGCTCCTCCAACATCAACTCCACTGGACTGGCCACGTTGTCCGGATGCCTGACCACCATCTCCCAAAGCAGTTGCTCTACTCCGAACTCAAGAATGCAAAACGGAATGTTGGTGGACAGGAAAAGAGATTGAAAGACAGTCTCAAAGCCAACCTTAAAACTCTGGCATAGTCACTGAGAACTGGGAAGCCCTGGCCCATGAGTGCTCCAGCTGGAGGTCAGCTGTGACCAGCAGTGCTGTCGAATTTTAAGACGGACGAATGGAGGGTGAAAGAGAGAAATGTGCTAAGAGGAAGGCGCGTCAAGCCAACCCTGACCGGGACCGCCTTCCACCTGGAAACCGATGCCCTCACTGCGGGAGAAGGTGCAGGTCAAGAATAGGGCTCTACAGATACCTATGGACCCACCCTGGAAGATTATTCTACTTGGACAACAAGGGATCACCTAAGTAAGTAAGTAATAATATCATACAGGTAGGAGCCCCCGATGGCGCAATTGGTTAAACCCTTGAGCCAGCAGGACTGCTGACCAAAAGGTCAGCGGTTTGAATCCAGAGGACAGTTCGAATCCAACCCTGACCAGGACCGCCTTCCACCTGGACACTGATGTCCTCACTGCGGAAGAACATGCGGGCCAAGAATAAATCTCCACAGCCACCTACGTATCCACCATCAAGGCACTTACACTTCAAGGGCCATCATCCTCGGGCTATGAAGGATCGCCTAAGTAAGTAGTAAGTTATATAATAGAAATACCTAATGGCTATTAGAAACTGAGGAATTCCTCTTGACACTTCTTACAAGTCGAGGACAAATCGAAACATTGCTAGTGACGCAATGGTGGAATTTCCTTCACCAGAAAACACTATACAGATGGTCCTCCGTATCCGCCGATTCTGCACCACGGATTCAACCACACACAACTTGAAAACATTTTTAAAACATTTTAAAACGTGATTTTATATAAGGGACAGTATTTTACAACATCACTGTGTATCACGAGACTTTGACATTCATGGTATCCAGAAAACACTATACAGTTAGCCCTCCATATCCGCGGGTTCTGCATCATGGATTCAACCACACACAGCTCGAAAACATTATTAAAACATTCCAAAATTTGATTTTTCCATTTTATATAAGGGACACTATTTTACAACATCACTGTGTATCACAAGACTTTGGCATTCATGGATTTCGGTATCCAGAAAACATTATACAGTTGGCCCTCCATATCCGCAGGTTCTGCATCACAGATTCAACCACACACAGCTCGAAAACATTTTTAAAACATTCCAAAATGTGATTTTGCCATTTTATATAAAAGACACTATTTTATGACATAATTGTGTATCATGATACTTTGACATTAGTGGATTTTGGTATCCAGAAAACACTGTACAGTTGGCCCTCCGTATCCGCGGGTTCTGCATCACGGATTCAACCACAGACAACTTGAAAACATTATTAAAACATTCCAAAATGTGATTTTGCCATTTTATAGAAAATACGCTATTTTACGACATAATTGTGTATCATGATACTTTGACATTCATGGATTTTGGTGTCCAGAAAACACTATACAGTTGGCCCTCCGTATCCGCGGGTTCTGCACCACGGATTCAACCACAGACAACTCGAAAACATTGTTAAAACATTCCAAAAGGTGATTTTGCTATTTTATATAAAAGACGCTATTTTATGACATCACTGTGTATCATGATACTTTGACATTCATGGATTTTGGTATCCAGAGGGTCCCCAGGAACAAAACCACAATGAATACTAAAGCATATGCATTGTAAGTATCTCAATGATCATGGATACAACCATGGAGGAGAATGACCAGCTCCATTACCCAGTTTTAAATTTTCTTTTCAATTAAATGACATATAAGGAGCTCTCTGTTGGAACAAAAGAGGATCAGGGCAAAAAAGACAGCAAGTTTCAAATGCTCAGAAAGCTACAGGGTTGTAAATGGGAGCCTTGTACCGTCAGTCAATCAGGATTTAACTCCACTAGTCCCTTTCCCTTTTGTCTCTCGCTGTGTGTCCCAGACAATGGTCTGAAGGAACAGGATGCTCCTGGCATGCTAAGCTAAAGCCTCGGCCGGCAAAGCGCCGAGGACGCCAGCATAAGCTGCTTTGAGCTTTCCAAAGGAATAATGGGATGCAGTAATGAAGGAGAAGAAAGCTTCCTGGACAGCTAGGGAAAGGATCCGTTTCCAGAGCTTACCGTTTTCGTTGTGCCGATCTTGGACCAAGTGCTGATAGACAGAATCGGGAACTTCGGATTGACGGTAGTACCATTTGACATTCATGAGGAGATGGTCCCGTTTACTCTGGGGAAGGAAAGAAGAGCAAAGAGTGGAATTACACACTTAGCCTGCCAAGACATTTGCAATTGCAGGAAGAGAAAGGGAGTTGCAATATAATGAGGAAATCATAGTTTAGTAGTGCTAAATGTGATGACATGGACATGAAAATAATGTCATTAGATATTATAGTGTTTCAGGAGACCTTTCGCAGAAGGAGTTCCATCGCATATGTGGACAGGTTCCTTCTGAACATTAGGAAGAACTTCCTGACTGTGAGAGCTGTTCAGCAGTGAAACTCTCTGCCTCGGAGTGTGCTAGAGGCTCCTTCTTTGGAGGCTTTTAAATTGAGGCTAAATGGCCATCTTTTGGGGGTGCTTTGAATGCAATTTTCTTGCTTCTTGGCAGGGGGTTGGACTGGATGGCCCACGAGGTCTCTTCCAAGTCTATGATTCTATGAAACTAGGCACTTCAATCCATGAACAATACACAAAGCACATCCTATAGACAAACATGAGCTAGGCAGTCCTTGGTACATGAAACTTGACATTATCCCGACATTGCCTCAACTGAAGCACATGTCTCCCACAAAGCATTATAAACTCTTCCCTGACTTCAAAACTGCTTGGAATGCATTCTTTCTTAGTTTTGGTTTATTATTTAACTTCGGTTGAATCCAAACTTAGCATCTTAACTGCTGCCCGGACTGCCTCTGTTTACTAAAACTTCTTTTCCTGTTCAAGGTCTTACTCTCTTCATTAACTCTTGCACCTGGTACACCAAAATCATCTTCATTCTCAGATAACTGCTCAGGGAACCATGGCAAAAGGCCTTTCCCAAGCTCAGGACCTCAAGAATCCTCTTCCAGCAACTCAGCCTCTCTTTTGAACTCCATTAACTGAACCCAGACGCTGGATGGCCATCTGTCCGGAGTGCTTTGAATGCAATTTTCCTGCTTCTTGGCAGGGAGTTGGACTGGATGGCCCACGAGGTCTCTTCCAACTCTATGATTCTATGAAACTAGGCACTTCAATCCATGAACAATACATAAAAGCATATCCAATAGACAAAACATGAGCTAGGCAGTCCTTGGTACATGACACTTGACATTATCCCAACGTTGCCTCAACTGAAGCACATGTCTCCCACAAAGAATTATAAACTCTTCTCTGACTCCAAAACTGCTAGGAACGCATTCTTTCTTAGTTTGGGTTTATTATTTAACTTTGGTTGAATCCTCTTCCAGCAACTCAGGCCTTTTTTTTAAACTCCATTAATTGAACCCAGAGGCTGGATGGCCATCTGTCGGGGGTGTACTGGATGGCCCACAAGGTCTCTTCCAACTCTATGACTCTATGAAACTAGGCACTTGAATTCATGAACAATACATAAAGCATATCCCATAGACAAAACATGAGCTAGGCAGTCCTTGGTACATGAAACTTGACGTTATCCCAACGTTGCCTCAACTGAAGCACATGTCCCCACAAAGAATTATAAACTCTTCCCTGACTCCAAAACTTCTAGGAATGCATTCTTTCTTAGTTTTGGTTAGACAAAACATGAGCTAGGCAGTCCTTGGTACATGAAACTTGACATTATCCCAGACATTGCCTCAAGTGAAGCACATATCAAGGTCTCTTCCAACTCTAGGATTCTAAGTGCTTGACTGAATTGAAAAGAAGCAAACATCTCTTCTGATAAGTTGGTTCTGGATCCCAGATAGATGTACTTATCACTAATATACATATATATTTCACATATATCTGAATAACACTATGTAACAAAATTTGGGGGGGGGGGGAATCTGCTGGTTTAAAAGTGTTATTCCTGTTTCATTGTGAAGTACTTAGTATGAAAGTAGTTGTTCTATTCCAGGAACGTATTTATTTATTTACAATATTTATATTCCGTCCGTCTCACCCCGAAGGGGACTCAGGACGGATCACAGAACATATATACGGCAAACATTCAATTCTACAATGACATGACAGACAACAGATAGAGCAGTGTTTCTCAACCTCTCTCATGCCGCACCACTTAATACAGTTCCTTTTGTTGTGGTGACCCCCAACCATAACATTATTTTCGTTCCTACTTCATAACTGTAGTTTTGCTGTTGTTATGAATCATAATGTAAATATCTGATTTGCAGGATGCATTTTCATTCACTGGACCAAATTTGGCACAAATACCGGATACACCCACATTTGAATACTGGTGGGATTGATTTTGTCATTTGGGAGTTGTATCCGTCAATAAACTGCTTGCTGATTTTACTATAATGGTGTGATGTTTAAGGACTGAGGTGTTCCCGTTCTGAGATACAACACAAACTTGGCACACAGAACTCCCATGACCAACAAAAAAAAAAAGTGTTTGGTGGGCATTGCCCTTGAATTTGGGAGCTGTAGTTCACCTACATCCAGAGAGCAGTGTGGACTCAAAGAAAGCTGGATCTGCACCAAACATGGCACTATTACCCAATATGCTCGAATTTGAACACTGATGGACCCCTCTGAAACCACCTCGCGACCAAATATATCCATATTTGAATACTGGTAGGGTTGGGGGGGGGGGGGATTGATTTTGTCATCCTGGGATTTATAGTTCACCTACAATCAAAGGGCATTCTGAACTCCACCAACAATGGAATTGAACCAAGTTTGGCACACACTAACAGAAAATACTGGAAGGGTTTGGTGGGCACTGACCTTGAGTTTGGGAGCTGTAGTTCACCTACATCCAGAGAGCAGTGTGGACTCAAAACAATGATGGATCTGGACCAAACTTGGCACGAATACTCCATATGCCCAAATATGAACACAAATGGAGTTTGGGGGAAATAGACCTTGACATTTGGTAATTGTAGTTACTGGGATTTATAGTTCACCTACCATCAAAGAGCATTCTGAACCTCACCAACGATAGAATTGGGGCAAACTTCCCACACAGAACCCCCATGACCAACAGAAAATACTGAAGGCCATCCAGTCCAACTCCCTTCACCAGGGCAAGAAAACGTAATCAAAGCCCTCCTGATAAAGAGACATCCAGCCATAGATTCTATATGATTCACACACACAGATATAGTATCATAGATTTGAAAGGGAGCCCTAAAGAAGGACGGTTATATGTTGCATGTTCCAGAATGGGCAAACCAGACAATCTCCACATCAACACTGACAAGAAACAACAAGAAATACTGTTTACCCACAAGCAGAAAGACATTACATACATTAGAAACCAAGACTTTCTCATTGCTTTATTTTCCAGCTCACGAGACTGGGCCACAGCAACGCATGGCAGGGAATGGCTAGTAATGTATAAATATTACAATTAATACAGCGTCCCTACTTTGCGGATTTTCACTTATTGCGGGTGGTCTTGAAATGTAATTCCCGCGATAAGTGAGGGAACACTGTATGTTGTAATCCGCTCAGAGTCCCCTTGGGGAGATAGAGCGGAATATAAATAAAGTGCATTATTATTATTTCTTTTCTTTCCCTTCTTTTTTCTCCTTCCTTCCTCTTCCCTGTCTCCTTTTTCTAGCTCTAAGGCCTCCATGGCCACGTGGCTCTCTTTGTGGCTCGCTCCTCCTTTCCTTCCACTCATACATAGGTCATTTTTCTTTTCCAGTGGCATCACAGAGGGCCACTACACCTAGCAATAGCCAATGCTTCGCCTAGCAACAGTCAACCTAGTGACATCATAAAGGGCCACATCACCTTTGTGGTATATAACAGGCAGACATACTTTGACTTTCATATAGAGAGGTGCACATGTGTTTGTTGAACGGGAAAATGCAAATTATTATTATTATTATTATTATTATTATTATTATTATTCTACTTTACTTCAGCAGGGATACCGTCAGGTCCGCTGGCTTTGTTATTTTGTTGTTGGCTGATGGCCAATCTGATCCTGGTAAGGAGAACGCAGCTTATTAGTAAAATAAGTATTGAAGGGAATGGAAAAGGCTTTCAGCTTCCAAGCACAATTCAAAGTACTAATCTTAATCTACAAAACCCTATACGGTTCCGGCCCAGTTTACCTGTCCAAACCTATTCTCCCCTATGAACCATCAAGAGTGTTAAGATAGTCTGGAAAGGCGCCGCTCTCAGTCCCACCACCTTCACAGTTGCATCTGGTGGGAACGAGAGACAGGGCCTTTTCTGTGGTGGCTATGGAATTCCCTCCCAAATGAAATTAGATCTGCCCCCTCCCTCCTGACCTTTAGGAAACTAGTGAAAATCTGGCTGTGGAATGAGGCCTTTGTAGAATGATGGTTGAGACTGGTAATCGACCAAAGTTATTGACCACAATATATGGACTGAATATACAGACCGAGTCGGACATGTATTTTATCTTGGCGAACGGCTTTTATGTAATTAATTTTATATGTATTGGTTAATTTACTGTTGTTATATGATGTTTTAGATTTTTACTGTTCGTATTGAATCCTTGCTGTCGGCTGGTCTGAGTCTCTCCATGGAGGTAGAGAAGATCGGGATATGAAAGTTTTAAATAAATAAATAAATTTATCTAGAGGTGTGTGTGTGTGTGTGTGTTGAATGGGAAAATGCATACTATTGTTGTTGTTGTTACTATTATTCTACTTTACATCAGCAGGAATCCCGTCAGGTCCTCTGGCTTTGTTATCTTTTTGTTGGCTGTATGGCATTTTCCGTTCCTGGCAAGGATAACGCAGCTTATTAGTAAATTAAGTATTGATGGGAATGGAAAAGGCTTTTATCTATAGGTGTATGTGTGTGTATTGAATGGGAAAATGCACACTATTATTAATTGAAGTCCCCAACATCCGGACTTATCATCTGTCCTCTACTAGGCAGAGAGACTTCTCGATTGTGGCCCCTTATTTATGGAATGCCTTGCCAGTTGAAACCCGAACCATCCGAGAGCTACTTGCTTTTCGGAACGCCTGTAAAACCTTTCTTTTCCGACAAACTTTCGATGCGTGAATAACTTGGGACTATGTCGGTTCTCGTTTTTATTGTATTTTAAAG